ATTTCCTTTAATTAATATAATTTAATTTAATTAATTAATAATACAATTTAATTAAGTTTTAATTTAATTTAATTAATTAATAATTTAATTTAATTCATTAATTAATTAATTAATTAATTAATTAATTAATTAATTAATTAATTAATTAATAATTTAATTTAATCTAATCTAATCTAATCCAATCCAATTTAATTTAATTTAATTTAATTTAATGAATTAATAAATCTAATTTAATTTAATTTAATTTAATTTAATGAATTAATAATTTAATATAATTAATTAATAATTTAATTTAATTAATTAATAATTTAGTCTTATCTATTTAATCGTTTATTTTCATCTTACATATTACTTGTATCGAATAATATTATTGTCAGCATACTTTTCTCTATAAGTTTATGTTACTTGTCTTTTATAAAATGTTTTACTCTGCTATTAATTACTAGTAACTTTTACAATTATTTATCAAATATTATACAGGGGCTTATAAAGATTCTGTAGAACTATAACAATCTTATTTACGTGTTTTAAAAAATGTGCTAAATGTAATTTTATAAAGTCAAACATAATTTTATGTAGTAAAAGAGTTGCTTACTGTCTTATACTTCTATAGAGAAACTACTGTTTTGCAGTTGTATTTTATTAGCCATAATGTTTTTCCTAGATTTCTCAAATAATCGTTGAAAGCTGCAGTTGCATCTACACCGGTGCCGACTTGGCAGCCTTATTCAGTTTAAAATTTATTTTACGAGTATTTTAATGTTAGATTTCTCTATCTCAAATATTCAGTTGATTGTATAAAAATAAATAAAATAATTTATTTCTGTTATATTACATATATATTTCGTCAATCTTCATGTTTATTATGACTGGGGTTTTCCACGTTTTCGAGATGAAAAAAATGTAAATGAAGAGGCGGTCCTAGACATTAATTTGTTGATTTGTTAGATGTGAAGATTAAGTGTAGTTTATAACAACATGTCAACATGTTAAAATGAAGTGTATGAAATAAATTCTATGATTAACTAATCTTGTTTTACAAGTGGAACGAGGGTGGCTCATTAGTATATTTGGAAAAAGCATATTTTTATAAATAATTTGGTACCACACGCACAGTATTTCGAGTCAACTATCTATCTCTCTAGATTGAAAATGCTATTTTTTTAAACTGAAAATGTCAGAAGTTTACATATGATTTGTCCTTCTATTCAGAATGTGATTTTTTAAATGAAGTAAAAAAAATACCGATGGTGACATTTAAAAAACAAAAGTTATAGTCATTTCCGGTGAAACAGGAAGTAACGGAAAGCTATTGAATACGTCAATCAATCGTGATTTATATCATATTCTAACTTAACACTTACCAAATCTCGTTTTTTTATCAGAAAAAATAGAAAAGTTATAGGGATGAGCCACGTTTGAGAAACACCCGGTGGAGTATATAAAATAATATACAGGGTGTCCCATTATAAAGAATATAGGTTAAGTTTTAGTTATATTTCGAAAATGACAGCTCCCAGCGGAAAAACCTAATTATACCACTAGATTCTAAGTGAAAAACTAACTTTACGACACTCAGTGTTCAGTGTTCGCCAGTTTCGATAAGTTATAAGATAACTGAGATACGAGGGTAGTCGAAAAGTAAATCCTCTGTCTGGATGAACAATTTGAAATTCGCCCTTTATTTCAGGGGAACTAAGAGAACTAGGACAAATCTATGTGTAACATCTTAAGTTTGATAAAAATGTAGCATAGAAATATAAAAACTTCATCTTTGTACCTCTACTCATAAAAAAGAAAAAGAAACTCTATAAAACACACGAAAATGGGACATCCTGTACAGGGTGGATCAAATTCTACGCTTTTAAAGGAAAACACCCTTTTCTATAGGAGATAGACGAAAACTAATATCGGTGTCTGGAGTTCAATTTTTCCAAAAAAAAATGATGGTGAAAACCGCACACCGATATCTGTTACCGTTTCAAAGTTACTGGGTGTTTTTCAAAAATGTGCATTTTTAACAAATCGCTGTAACTTTTTTAGTATGGAAAATGTTGTATTTTTATGAAAACATTTCCAGAGCACCTTTTTTTCGTAATTTAATGGTTTCAGCAAATTTTTTTTAAATTAATATTTTAAGAGTTATCAACAGAAAAATTGATTTTTTATTTGGGACACGCTGTATATTTTTAATTAACTGAAAAGAACTTAAAATTACCTTTCAAAAAATATAGCACACTTGATATTTTGTTATAGCCCTCTTTAAAATACAGAATTTTTAAAAGTTCGCTACTTTTAACTAGTAGGCTTTGGACCCCTTATTGATGATCTGCCCCAATGGAACTCGAAAATATATTTTCCAGTAAGATCAGGCACCGTCTCAGAACGCTGAAGTTATGAGCAAATTTTTGCAGCCAATTTCGAGAATAATTGAATAGCTAACCATGCTCCCAGCCGTAGGCCGCCGGACTTAGTGCCTATGGATTTTTATGTTTGCGGAAGAATAAAGGTTCTTATTTTTGAATGGTCCGTATAATCTAGACAAGAATTCTATCTCTACTTAGCGGTTATGTAAGGGTATCTTTCATCCCACTGAGTTAATGAATTCCGCGAAAAATGATCAAAGAAGTCCCGTCTGTCCATACAGAAGACGGTCGACCTGTCGAACACCTGTTACAAAATCTCATATCGTCAGTGAAACGTGATAACCTGCTAACTCCATTTTTTACGTTAATAAGTTTTTTATACCATTAGAAAGAGAAAAAAATACTCTATAAGTAGGGAAAGCAAATACATTTTTTCCCATTAAAGAAAATTTGCAATTTTAACTCAATAATATCTGCAAACTCCCAGTGATCTGAAATAGCAACCGAAATGCTGCTAAGTCCATAATTTCCGTTACGATCACGCTAAAGCAAATTAAAGCGGATTCTTACTCGTATGTTTCTTTAGGACAGTACTTCGATCCAGGGACGCACTAGGCCAAAGGGGCCCGGATGGCAATGTAAGAAGGGGCCCGTGTGGATTTTTTTTGCGTATTTTTTCGCCTTACGTTTTGGTCAATTTTTTCCTATTATATACAGGATGAATCTTAAATAAATGTAAATGTTTTTAGGGGTAGTATATTTCGACCCAAGAAACACGATTATGAGGTTTTTTGGGCGATATTTTTTTTTTTTGAAAATTTGGAATTTTTTAAAAAAAAATTTTGGAATTTTTTTTAATTTTTAGTTTAAAAACATACTTCGTTTGTAATATGGCAACAGAGGTAGTAGATTAAATTTACAAGAAAGAAAATCCAATGATTCTCAAAATTATAGCAAAAAATTGGACATTTTAAAAATGAAATAACTCGATTGTTTTGGATTTATTTGAAAAAACGGTAAAGAGAAAATATTATGTTTCTTTTATCGAGATTTCCCAGCCCTGAAAATATTTGCACTTATTTAAGACTCATCCTGTATAGAAATCAGGGAACTACCCTAATGCAAAGGAAACCAATGCAATGCAAATGCCATAATGCAATGCAAAAGCAAATATTGTTAAGAATAAATAATGAACTATAAAGGGGTCCCGCGAAGGCTGGGGCCTCCCTAATATTTATATATATAATATGGCCAGTCCGACCCTGCGTCGATCCGTTCTGTAAATACGGGGTATCCGTAAAGGGTAAGGGGGAAAATTAAATTCTCTATATACGAGCAATTCATCGGCGTCCTATAAATAGTTTAAATAGCATAACTTACTTGTACAAGAATTTCCATAATACCTAATCAGTTTCATTTTTTTCCACGTTTTTCCACGTAAATGATACATAATTTTTATAAAAATTAAAAAAATAAGGAGAAAAGTAATAAAAATTTAATAAAATCACGCACTAGTTTTCCAAGCTCGGTCTATATTACCTTTGTATAAAAATTAGGATAAGCATGGAAGGATTCTACCATATCTTCTAAGAATTATAAGTTTAATTTTTAAATTATTTTCATATTCATTAAGTCCAAAATGCTGCTACTTCAGATCTTTAAAAATGCATTAAAAATTTATTCGTTTTTGGACTTGTATGTTTTGCTTCTAGACCGACGATATTAATATATGGTTATGAATATCATATATTTTTTAAATTTAATTGATTATTTCTAAATCTGTTTGGGTAATATTCAATTTCATGTTTAAAATTTCAAACAATAAAGGTTGCTATCTCCAGAAGTATATTTTTATTTCTTATTTCTGCAAGACGAATATCTGCTATCTCCCTATTGTGTCTGAAAAAAATGATGTAACACGAAATATTGAGTTATATTTTTTCCCAGCAATTAAAATTGGAAGGATAAATTGAATCATATTAACGCATGAAAATACTTCCTACATGTTTACATATTTTTTTGTACCGTTTTTTTTGCTCTCCTGTAAAATTAGGAATAATGGAGTTAGCAGTTTATCACATTTCACCGCCGATATCTTGGTTTGCTATTAATTTTTATTGTTATTAGATATAATTTAAATGTGTTGATGTTGTTAAATATAGTTTAAATTGTTATAAAATTCTGCATCTCTCATTGCAAATATTATTTTCGTTTTAATTGCTGCTCACAGCTAGAATTTTTTTTTGCGTTACAACCGGCGCCGTTCAAAGCCTACTTATTCAAAGTGGGCGAATTTTTAAACTCTATATCTCGAAGAGGAATCGAGCGAAATATCAAGTGTGCTATATTTTTGGAAAGGTAATTTTAAATTATTTTCAATGAATTAAAAATATACAGGGTGTCCCATTTAAAAATCAAATTTTCGTAACTCCGAAACGGTAACAGATATAGATGTGCGGTTTTCACCATCATGTTTTTGATAAAAATTGAGTTCCGGACACCAATATTAATTTTCGCCTATCTCCTATAGAAAAGGGTGTTTCTCTTTAAAAGCGCCCAATTTAGCCCACCCTGTACATATGCAACAGTACATAACATGCTTTAACTGATATTAAATGTATGTTTTCTTTTCAGGAAGTGGTATTTTTGTATCGCCAACTGGTGTATACCAAAGTAGTCATTCCGTGGGAGCCTCGATTGTGATATGGTCACTCTCGGGCATTTTTTCCATGTTGGGTGCCCTATGCTACGCTGAGCTGGGCACATCCGTCACTAGATCTGGAGGAGATTACGCTTATATATACGTCGCTTTTGGTCCATTAGCAGCTTTTTTGAGGTTATGGATTGCTCTTTTAATTATCAGGTAAAAAATGCATACGATTTTTATTTTTTTTTTATTTTACTAATTGTATTTGTGATAAACTATTTCAGTAAATTTAATATAGTAATAAAATGTGTAAAACACAGTGATCAAAACTGTTATTTTTGAGTTCCTATTATTTAGTTGGAACTGTTACAGTTACTTAAAAACAACGTTAAAATAGTAGGTTTCTGTTAAAAAAAAATAAAAACACTAAATCACCACAATACACCAAAACGCTTTTACTTTTACATTGGACGCGCGTTTCGCTAACCATGTTAGCATCATCAGCAGATGATTATAAACTTTACAAGAAGTAGGTAAATACTAAAAAGTAATAAGCCTGATAAAACTGTTGTGTGCTCCAACATCTCTATCAGGGCACTGTTATTTACGTAACTGTATGTTTGGAAGTGATAACTAATATTGCGAACTCTTATTTCTGAATAAAAGTTGTAAAATAACAGTCATCAAATAACAAGATTTTACAAACCGTACAGCTGGTTTAGAGAGATTTTTTGAGCGATATATCTTTTACATCACTATTATTTCATTTGTGAATTTAGAGGGAACGCTGATCAAATAAGTTGTTTGCACAAGAACTTATAAAAGGATAAAAAATTACATGACACGCCTGATTAATATTAGCTTTCGATTAATCAATTGTGTCGATACACAACTATAAAGAATCGCTGACGTAGTCATCTTAGAGCAATAGGAGTATGTATGACTGTTAACTACTCACTCAGACCTGGTGATTGATGTGACTTGTTTCTATAGAATTATTATAATACTTCCAAGGATGAGTTAATAAATTAATTATCTACTTACATAAATTAAGTGTATTGTATATTAATATTAACTATAACAATATGAATTAAATGTATTAATATGAATAAAAATGAATCTTATTTTAATACTTTTAATGTTTTATTAATAACGCTGTTTATAGCGTAGATAAAGAAATAGGTTTATACTTTTTTATTTACACTTTAACACATACATTTTAAAATATAAAAATGTAGCTAATCTAAGTTTATTGAATATTAAACATTTTAATAATACAATATACCGGGTCGGCTACGCCTGGCGTTGGGTCCGACTTTCGTGTGTTCTAAGAGTACAGTCAAAGTGTTCAGTACAATAAGATGTACTGAACAAAGAGAGTTGTTATGTAATCAACACTTCGCATTTTTCTCTCTCCGACTTACAATATCGCCATAGCGATTCATTTCTAACTCCTAGACATATAAATATAATACTGACTCAAGACTATGTTGCCGACACCCGACACTCACTCTGTCCGTCGTCGACTGAAAGGAGAACTACGGTACAGTATCCTTTATCCGCTGCGCTGTAAACGACTATCAGATCTGCGGCGCAGAGCTAAACTAAAGTTTCGTTCCAACGACGTGCGACGGAGAGAACCGTACTTGGAACGGTAATGCTTCTGCGCAGTGGAGAAAAAGCGTTCCAACCACGAGAGAATCGATTAGTGAACAAAAACTTTTGCGTTCCAACAAGAGTTATCACCGTTAGTGAATCGATTCCGGGACCGTACTTTCTATACCAGCCTGAAAGCAAGAATCATAGGGACTGACCTGCGCATTAAGAGTGTGTCAGCAGATTCTTGATTTTTTCTGGACTTTAAATTCCTTTAGCCATTTCTCTTTTTATATAATTTTGACAGTTTATTTATCTGGTTTGACGACGTTTTGAAGCTTAAAGTTTTATTTGATGTTTATCATGCATTTTTTTTAAATATTTCTCTATTTTTGAACTATGATGACTGACGAAGGGGGCAGTGATATCGAGTCTTTGTTGGATACCAGCGAAAATGATTTGAACGAGTGATTCAATAAACAATACGTACAAATATAAACAAATCTCCCTCCCAATTTATTAATTGTCTTATAGTGTATAGTTAGAGAAAAAAACGGCGTCTCCAGTTGGCTTGGAAATGATGATCAATGCCATTCTCCATATAATTTTACATATAAAAAATTACAGCAATCTTCATTTCATAGCAGTGGCGGATACAGAGGGGGCCCATGGGGCCAAGGCCCCACCCCCCCTAAAATCTATAAATTGGGTTAAATATTAGGCTTTTGGGTTAAAAATGGCGCTCTAAAAAGCATATTCTACATTACCTTTTATTTGGGCCCCCCTAAAATAAAATTCTCTATCTGCCCCTGTTTCATAGCCATCGCTAACGCCGTTTTTTTTTCGATCATACGGTCTATTACTCATTTCGAATCCTTTAGATAATAAAAATAGTATAAAAAATAGGTCTAACCCTGAGATCTAACCATTGCCTGGAAACTTATATAGTGAAATTTTGATAAAATAATTTAGTACATACTAAAAACACGGTATGTCGCTAGTGGTAGAAAAAATAATTTTTAGAGGTTACTAGTTTATTTGGTAGCCTGTGATACGTATTTGTTGTGATATGCATATACAGGGTGTTTCCTAATTAATCTAAAAAATAAAAAATCGTTAGAAAACGCATTAAGGCGGGCTCTTAATAAGTATATTTGTTTTTTTCTCGACAACCGTTTGATGAACAAGAAAAACTCAAAAGATCAATTTTGTTGAAAAAGGATGGCCAGTCAAGAAAAAAATATATTTTCTCAAAAATGCAGTGGTGTACCATTTATGTTAAGCAAAAAATTCGATTTTTTTTTAATTTTTAATACCCTGTAGATCAGAAAGGAAGTACTTTAGACCCAATGGTTATATAAAAATTGTTTTAAGAACACATGAGGAATCACACCATAATTTTTTTAGACTAATTCGAAAACACCCTGTATATTGTCAACTTGACAATGACTGCTGATTAATCAAAAAATACCTTTTCAGTGAAAAAAGTCTGATTTTCGCAGGAAAAATTTTGATTTTTATTGAATTTGGGCCTGCGTCTGCAAATACTGGTTTGTTTTTTAATTTTCTATCTGTCTAAATTTTAAATATCATAGTCAGAAATACTTTCATTATTTATTAACTGTAAAAATGTTTTTTTCTTGCTGTGTTGAATCTTGCAAAGAAACTAACAAAACTGCAAAAATGCACGTGTTTCCAAAAGACGATAAGGTATGTATCTTAGATAAAAGAAAAATATAATAATATGGTATGTATTCGTTGTTTGCTTTTTTTTCGTTCGCTTTAAAATCTATAAATCTCGGTCTATTCATTAGACAGCCAGTCGACTTTTATCTTCGATCATTTACATGAAAATATATATATTCTTATGTTTTATTAAAGTTACTCTGATATACTAATATAACAGTGTAACTTTAAAAATAAATCCTTTGAATTCAAATATAAACATAAAAAACATTTACAGCAGAAAAGGCGAAGGCGCTGGGTTAAACGTAGTCTCTACTAAAAACACGGAGGGGCGCTTTGACCCAAAATTTTACTATTAAGTTTCATATCTATCTTAATAGTAGATTATTTTCTTTTATCTATGGATCTAACCAATAACAATAACAAAAGATAAGGTTATGAATTGGATTCCAGTGTAAGGCCCCACAGCGGCCAGGGCGAATTCTAAAATCGATTCCCAAACCGTTCCAACAACGTTTAATTTTGGTATAGAACTGTCTAAGTCGACACATGCGCACAAATTCGATCCCGGCGATACCAATAACCGTTCTAGAACAGTCCTAATTTCTGCGTTGGAACAAAGCTTAAATATCGGACAGGCTGACGGTAACGCCAGCTACATGGGACATGTTTTGTGCCACGAAACCGCCCATAAGGTTGCGCATATTTTTATTTCTTCAATCAACGTTTATAGTTTTTATGAAGTCAATTGGAATAGATAGGAACTCTTAATTTTGGCACTGTCTTTGTCGGCATCATCTGGACAAAGAACTTCAGAATACCAGTATTACTGGTACTCTAGAGGGCGCGCACTGCATCGGATCGGACCAAATACGTTTAAATAAAGTATACGACGGCCTCCCCATAAGAGCAATGAGAGGATTTACGTCCCAGTATTGAAGGAGGACAGAAAATCGAGTCGAATGTTCAAGACATAGGTTCATCCTTGTATAGTCAAACCTCCTACAAACCAAGGATAGACTTATGTAGGAAATGCATTGAAATTCTATAGCCATCCTTCAATATCGGGACAGGAATTTAAGCGGTACCCTCCGTATACTTTATTTTAAACGTATTTGGCGGAGCCTAAGGGTGTACGCGCACTGAATCGGTACCAGTCCGGCGAGAAACGGCGAAGGCGGTGACTCGACTATCGTAGATAGGTAGAGGTAGGAATCTGGCCTCTACAGGACGAAATGTTTTAGTGGACGCCGCCGCGCCGCCGGCGCCGTTTATATGTACGATGGTCGCAGTCGCTTTTGCTGGTCGGTGCGCGCCCTCCTTAATATTGACTTCGGAAATATTATACTGCAACTTATATTTTTATTTATGCGAATATATACTTAGAACATATAAATTAATATAGTTTTTGTAATATTAATTTATATGTTCCATCTATTCATATAAAAATAAAATATCATCTTTAGATAAATCACCTCCGCCATAATTCGTATACATTATTTTTAATTTATTTTTTATCATAATATACCCTTATATGATTCGCATATATTATTTTTTACGAGAATAAACTGACGATGCTTTTTGGAATTTTTTGAAACTCCCTCATGTCACAATTATTCTTCAAATTATCGAATTGTTGAAAATTGATTATTAACTGATTATTAAATACACTACATTTATATGCAGGGTGAGTCAACGATAGAGACAAATATAGAGAGAATTATTAAAAAATGTTAAATAGAAAAGTTATATGAAAGGTTAAGAGGCACATTTTAAAATTTTTAGTATGTAAATATATAGGGTGCTTTCAAAAAAAATGTGGCGGATATATCATACATTTTTTAAATGCAACACCCGCCCCTAATTTTATGATCACTTTTCAATACACGTATATAGAGATTTCTCCTTGCCTCTACCCTACATATCTCTGTTAAACGACTATCTTTATTCGTGGACTATCAATTACAACTAGACACATGTAATAGGTACTTTCAAATATTGCCACTAGGTGCTATAATAAATATTACACTTTATATTAATAAAATTCCAGTTTTATGCGGCCGCGGAAAACTAGTGGTTATATACCTAAAATTAACAGTTTTTGTAATATTTTAATTTGTTTAAAGGAATGTTTGATTTCAGTGTCATAAAAAATTGTCAGGGATGCTATTGTTTCTAAAGTTGGAGTACTTTTATTTAGAATAATCCCAGGTTGAGTGATACAGCTCAGTCGAATGAGCCAAATCGGTGGAAAAAATTTTTTGAAAATGTTTTTGTCTTTTATAAAAACGTTGTTTTGAAAAGAATGTTGCATAAAAAGTTGTCGTTTAAAGTTTCTATATAACTACAAAGTTTTTCTTTTCAACAGGCCTACAACCCAAGCGATTGTGGCAATTACTTTTGCTGAATATGCAGTAAAACCATTCTTCCCTGAATGCAGTCCACCAGAAAATTCGATCAGACTCTTGGCGGCAGCCTGTCTCTGTAAGTATGTATAGTTTTTTTAGTATGATAGTTACAATTACCAACACTGTAGAGAGTCTCATTTTCGTTGCAAAAGAGGCTCATCTCGCTTATCACAATACTCAAGATAGAACCTTGCGGTTTTCGCAAACAAAAATATTGGTTATCGATCACTGTTATCAAGCAGTTGAATTAAACGACTTTTTTCGATCATACAAAATGTTCGGAACCCGCGTAAAAGAATTTTTATTTTTGTTGTTTATTCTATGTTAAATACAAATAAATTTTCAATACATAAACGCGGATTTTTTATCCAAAGATATTTTTATCAAACGTATTACAGATATTACACATTTTAATATGGCAACACTGTCGCTTTCAGTTCCATACCGTCTTCGAAATGCTTTCGCTGGCCGAATTAGAAAAAATAAGTATTTTATGCGTTGGCCGCACAACGATTGGTGGCTCCACCGTACAGCACTTAAGACAAAAGGGGAAATTAAATCAGCCTTGTCACGAATTCGCTCATTAGGTTGCATATCTTACCAATTCCTTCAATCAACGGTAATACGTTATAACACTCGACTTAAAACCCTATTTTAACCTAATTTATTTTTAAATGAATGTCTTATCTACAAAATTATAAATGTTATAGCCACTTTAGAATTTAGAATGAGTGGGAGGGGGGTTAATCACTTCGACCTTACAGATCCATTGTGTCCCCCTTTCTTGAATCATAACTCATCATACAGTCCCAGGACTTTGACAAAAGCCAGTATCTGGGACGGTTTTATAGAGGGTAGTTCTCCATCTCCAATATCAGTCGTACCAAAGTTCATGGCACGAATGGTTGTCGTCTCGGCGCACTCAGTGATGAGGTGTCACCTCATCACTATATAGCCACTTAGAAGTGGGCCTGTAATGCTAATACTGAGATTTGGTGTGTTAGTGTATGACATAAATTAGGATTGATTGACGTATTCAGTTGTTTTCGGCCACTTCCTGTTTCACCGGAAATGACTACAACTTTTTATTTTTAAATGGCACCCTCGGTATTTTTTTAATTTATTCGATAGAAAATAACACTCTGAACAGAATGACATATCATATGTCAATTTTTGACATTTTCGCATATGGTTTATTTGAAATTATAACTTGAGGTTCGTAACGAAAATTTTTTTTGACTCGAAATACCAAGTGTGTGGTATCAAATTATTCGTAAAAAAATATTTTTCCAAATATGCTAATGAGCCACCCTCCTTCCATTTGAAAAAAATGAGATATGATTAAAAATACGATTTGAGCGTTTTCTAACTGGCCAGGACATGACATTAAAAACATTAGACGATCAAATCTATTTTTCCAAGGCTCCTTGATCAAGAATTAGTGTTTTTAACGTAGCCATGGCACTCTAGATTGAATTTTAAAATACGATTTTTTATTAAGCAAGAATGTCAAAAGTTGGCATATGTCTGAGATATGTCATATCATTTTCTATCGAATAAAGTAAAAAAAATGCCGAGGGTGCCATTTAAAAATCAAAAGTTGTAGTCATTTCCGGGGAAACAGGAAGTGATCAAAAACAATTGAATACGTCAATCAATCATTGTCATATCCAATACATGCACTAACACTAACACTAACACTAGAGGTGAGTGTTTACTTGAATTCCTCTTAGCATGCAATCTTGAAGTTCTCAATGTAGGGAACAGCCCCACGTTTGTGACAAAAACGCGGGCAGAAGTGTTAGATTTAACAATCGGGAGTGCTGGTGTAATCAGTTACGTGAAACAATGGAGGGTCTCAACGGAACCCTCCCTATCAGATCACAGAATCATCGAGTTCAAATTAGGGGAATCACACCCCAAACAGAAACTCGAAGGAATCCAAGAAAAACAGACTGGGACATGTATAACACCAATCTCGTAGACAACCTAAACCGTATAGATGCAAGTAGGGCCAGAAACCATCTGCATCTAGAATGGTACGCAAGGGAAGTCAGCGGTGCAATATTGGATGCATATGAATCTAGTTGCCCCGCAAGTAAAGGCATACAAAAAGTAACAACAAGCCCTGGTGGAACAAGAAGTTGGCCAAACTTAGATCGGAGGTCCGACGACTCTTTAATAGAGCTAAATCCAGTGGCGAATGGCAGCTCTACAGCGAGAAATTAACTGAGTATAAGAAGGAGATAAGAAGGGCAAAGCGGTCTGACTCTAGATCCTTTTGCGAAAACATCACTTCTACTCCTGATGCAGCTAGATTACACAAAGCTATGGCCAAGAGTGGATCTATCCCCATCATGGCACTTAAGAAATCTGACGGAAGCTACACGGAGGGAGAGGAAGAGAGAGCAAATCTCCTACTTTATACACACTTTCCAGGTAGCATACGTATTGATACTTATGTAGCTCCCACTGAACCTCACAATCCTTGCAGGGAAGATTGGGAAGTGGCCAAGCTAGTAATAACAGAACAAAAGCTGAAATGGGCGATCGACACCTTTCAGCCCTATAAAGCAGCAGGAGTGGATGGGATCTTTCCTGCCCTTCTAAAGGAGGGTCAGCAAATAGCTACTCACCATCTACTAAGCATTACAAGAAGCAGTCTAGCGATGGGATATATACCAACCACATGGAGAAGAGCAAAAGTAATCTTCATACCCAAAATAGGCAAAACTGACTGGACAAATCCCAAGTCATTTAGGCCTATTTGTCTCACATCGTTCATACTAAAAACGCTGGAGAAAGTAGTTGACAACCATATTGGAGAAAATCATCTAAAGGTTAAACCACTGCATGATAGTCAGCATGCATATAGAACGGGCAGATCCACAGAAACTGCTCTGTACCAATTAACGGAGCTAATACAGACAAGTCTGGATAGCAAAGAAACAGCAATTTGTGCCTTCTTGGATATTGCGGGGGCGTTTGACAATATACCACATAAGGTGGTCAGGCGATCTCTAGAAACAAGAGGGGTGAACAGAACTATTATTCGCTGGTTTTGGGAAATGCTGTCAACACGAACAGCAGAGGCTCAGATGGGCACCAAAACTGTAGCTGTTAAAACAACGCAAGGAACTCCACAAGGTGGAGTAACCTCCCCTTTGCTGTGGAGCTTGGTGGTGGATGAACTACTAGATGAATTAACTCTAGCGGGAATACACTGCATTGGGTATGCAGATGACATAGTCATGATCGCTCGGGGGAAACATGAAGGCACCTTGTGTGATATTATCCAAAGAGGACTCCGTATCACTGAGAGATGGTGTAGGACTGTCGGGCTGAGTATCAACTCAGACAAAACCGCGATAGTGCCATTCACCAGAAGGCGAAGTCTGAAAAACTTGAAAAGAATCCAACTAGATGGAAAGGAAATACTGCCAACACAGGAAGTTAAATACCTGGGAATAACCCTGGACAGTAAACTCCTGTGGAACAGGCATATTAAGAACACTACCAGCAAAGCCATAAAGGCTCTCATGATATGCAGAAGACTGGCCGGAAATAGATGGGGCTGCTCCCCTAACATTTTGCGCTGGATGTATACCATGATAGTAAGACCCATGATTACTTATGGAGCAGTTGCCTGGTACACAAAACTAGAGCAACGGACGGCAAGGCTAAACCTATGCAAAGTCCAGAGACTAGCATGTGTTTGCATCACAGGAGCCATGAGAACCTGTCCAACAGCAGCAATGGAGGTCATTCTAGATCTAACACCACTGCACATTGTCATTGGTAGATATGCCAATGCGACAATGATTAGAATGGTCACTAACGGAATTAGTACTGGGAGAATTGTCAGATCAGGGGCTTGGAACACCCTCAAAAAAGGAAATACCACTTCTGCAACTCCCAGTGGACGATATGCCAAGAACGTACAACTTTGACAAACATGTCAATGTAGTATTGAGCAATAAGAAGGATTGGAAGAGCGAAACGCTTGCCCAGCAGTTAAAAGACCATACCATAACTTGGTATACAGATGCTTCCAAAACCAATACGGGAACAGGGATCAGGTGTTGGGCCGAGAGCTAATTACTCCGAACCAATGGGCACTTACCCTAGTATCCTACAGGCAGAAATCTACGCTATCGAGAGATGCGTACAACTTATCTTAGATAGGAACTATCGGAAACAAGAAATAGCCATCTTATCTGATAGTCAAGCAGCGTTAAAGGCGATCAACTCAGTCTCAATCAATTCGAAATTGGTCAAAGAATACATAGAGAAGCTGAATAAATTAGGCAAAGAAAACAAAGTCCTCCTACACTGGGTGCCTGCTCACCAAGGGATAAAAGGCAATGAAAAAGCAAATAATCTAGGTAGAAAAGGAGCGAACACTCCACTAACTGGACCAGAACCGTTCTGCTTTCCAAGTGGTAACCAACTCAAGGAGGAACTCAAGAACTTGGAAGATTCCATCCGCAACCTGGAATGGAAATCTTGCAATGGTCTAGGACACTCGAAGAAGTTTCTGAGGGCTTATGATCAAGAAAAATCACAGATCTTCCTGGGTCTGAGTAAGAACAATCTTCGGATTGTCACGGGGTTTTTAACAGGACACTGTCTCCTCAATGAACACCTCAGTAGATTGAAACTAAGAAGAAATGGCGAATGCAGATTCTGTGGGGAAGATGGTGAAACACCAGTACACCTCATCACTGAGTGCGCCGAGACGACGACCATTCGTGCCATGAATTTTGGTACGACTGATGTTGGAGATGGAGAACTACCCTCTATAAAACCGTCCCAGATACTGGCTTTTGTCAAAGCCCTGGGACTGTATGATGAGTTATGATTCAAGAAAGGGGGACACAATGGATCTGTAAGGTCGAAGTGATTAACCCCCCTCCCACTCATTCTAAATTCTAAATTCTAAAAAAAATCCAATACATACCAAATCTACAATTTGTGTCATATACTAACATACCAAATCTCGTTTTTTAATTTGCAAAAGTTATAGGGGTGAACCACTTTTAGACGCACCCGGTATAGGTATATAATCAGAGGCGC